AGGCACTTCCATGGGTGGGGGCTGGTCTACTCTGACAATGAGGTTTTCCTAGAGGGGCCTCACCTCTGGCTGAGGGACTGGGGTCTGGCTTAAAGAGCATGTGGTGTCTCCGAGGGCCCGTGGCGGCCTGGGGGCAGGCCACGGGGACCAGGTCTTCTCTACCTTAGGGGAACGGGCCACTCTAAGACGAATACTTCTGATAATACCTCTGGGCTTCACGGGCCTGCACCCTCCAAACCAACCAACCGTGGGCCAAGGCTCCTCCAAAATCCAAAGCTTTGATTTCGCAGCGGGTTCATGGGCATTCTGAGCAGGACTGGGCAGGACGTTTTAAGGGGTTGTGTCTGTCTAGTGGAAGATGGCTCAAATAAGACAGTCTGTGAGGCATGAGGGTGAGAACTAGAGAGATGGCCCTCACAAGCCCAGGACCACCGACTGCCCACACCTGAGAGCCCAGAGCTCCTCCCGCACGTGGGCTTCCGCTCACAATCAGCAAAGTCTGTGGGCACCACAGCTGTCTGCCTTCCAGCAGCCCATGCCCAGCCACCAGCTCTGACAACCTGCAGCGACAAGGGGAGGCTAACACCCCACGGTCCCCACCGCCAAGGCGAAAGGGCTCAACCCTTTAAACCTCTTTGCAGAAGGCACTTCTCCCGGTATCTCCCTCCAAACCTCACCACCAGAATCCACCAGGTGCACCAGCACACTGCATACACCACCACCCATCTGCCAGGGGGGCTCGTGGGAGGCCGTGAGGTTGAGCAGGACTCAGCAGAGCTTCCAGACGAAGGCAGACAAGAAAGAAAGGCGGGGTGATCTGCTGCGAAATCAGCTGTCCCAGCAGTGTGAGCCTGGCCCGGCGGCATCTGATCCACAGGGAGGGGACAGGCCCGGGTGGCCTTCCTGGTTGCACCACCTCGAGTGGGAGGCCCCCTGGTAGCAGCTAGCAGCACACAACAGGCCACCTCTGCCTCCCTCATAATGCTGCCACTCTGCTCACGGCACAGCAGGGGCCTTCTGAAGGCCCGTGGGGGGCTCCCACCAGCCTCTCATGCCATTTCCCCCACGAACGTTTTAAGCCCCCTCGCATGTATCTTGCAACCTGCTTCCACCTCCTGGCCGTGCTCCCACAACCTACCCGTCCCATTTGGTTGCAGGGACTCTGCTTCTCATTAGGACGTGTCCGAGAGGAGAGAGAAAGACAAGGTCTGAGAGGGGTGGCACACGGTGGCCACCGGAGCCCAGCTGCCCCATGAATAATTGCCCAGGAGGGAAACCAAGTGGGAGAGGGGCCCACACGGCGCCAGTGGGCTTTCCACAGAGGCCGAGCTGTGGTGCTGCCGAGCGCCCCAGCCACAGACAGCCCAGGTCGGGTGGGCTCTGATGTAGCTCGGGAGGAATCGAGGGATAGGACAGAGGCTTGCCGGAGCCCTGGGTCAAGGATGGGCCAGGCCTGAGGCAGAGGCCAGTCGGGGATCCGGCTGGGTTGCTGATAGAGCCGAGAAGCGTTCAGTCTCTGGGCCGCGATGCAGACTCACAGGCACAAGCAGTGCGCCTGGGCTGTCTGATGATGCCTTGTTCCTCAGGCCCCCAGACAAGGTCTGGGTGTGGTGGCCACCACAGACCTCATGCCAGAGGGTCCAGTGCAGAAGGCGGTGGGTGAGCAGGTGGGTAGCGGCCTCACGTGGTTGAAGCAACGTGGACGGAGGAGCCGAGCAGCAGGAAGTTGGGTCCACAGGAGCTCGGCGGGTGCCCGGGCGGGCGCTCCAGACGGCTGGGATGAGCGCCATCCTCTAGTGAAGCTGGAGGTGTGGGCGGGGCGGGCGCCACAACTTCCAGGAAACGTACTGTGTCGGGAGGTGACTGACGGGGGTCGGGGTGGTGGTGGTGGTGTGTTTTTCCACCAAACAGTCACCTCTTTTGGGTGGAAGGCGATGGCGGGAGCAGAGGGGTGGGTACGGGGGCTGGTCTATTTGGACAGTTTGCTGATGACTCTGATCAGAGCACCATTTTCGTCTTTCAGCCTCTGGTTGTCGGATTTCAGTTCTGTTAACACCTGTAGAGGTGACAGAGGGTGACAGTGTGTTAGAGCCCAGCCTTACCACCTGCGAGTGTTGGGTCGCACCCCCCCACCCCCAATCCCAAGCTGGCTGGAGCATCTTGGGAGCAGAAGCTTTCAAGGCAACTTCTGGAAACACTGCCACGCCTTCTTTCAGGGCTGGCGTTCCCTTGACCCTTTCTAGCCACTGGCTGGTAATGGCCATAGCCCCTCCATGTTCCAGCTAGCGTACTCAGTAACAGCGTGCCGTTTCTCTCATGCTCCAAGTGGGTACCTCTGACTCTCCTGAGTCACCAACAATGGTTTCCCCTCATTCCTACCCTTGAACTGACCCCAGCCTAGAGATCTGTGAGTGTACCAGCCAGGGAGCACTGGGGAAGGCATGGGATGGGGGTGCAGGAAGGACCAAGGCATCGAATACACAGTAGAAGGGGGCACTGCTTCGCTACACCCTGGCAGAAATGCAGGGTGGAAGGTGGGAGTCGAGTGCCTGCCCAGGCAGTGCCTGTGGGGGCAGGACTCTCCCACGGGTCCCAACGCACCCACCTACTTCCAACCACCAAAGCCCAGTGGGCAGCCAGTGTCACCCCACAGAGCTGGAAGGCACGAGGCACTGGGTGCCCCTCATCCCACTGCTGGTTCCCAAGCAAGACCCAGAGGCTTGCCAGCAATTTGAAGGGGTGATGCTGTAATTCCTCCGGGGCAGGAGGGAGTGGAGACTCCAACTCTGCCCATTCTGCCATCTTGTAGCCTCAGAGCTCACCGTGCTGCCCTGTGTGGCTCCAGCAGAGTCCGGATCTCCTAGTCGGCGCCCCCCCCCTCCCCCCACGCGGGGCAGGTACCCTGACTAGGAAGTGGGGCATTGGGAAGGCTAGGAAGGGGTGATTTCTGGGGGGCCCTTTGGGCTGAGTGAAGAGGGATTCAGATTAGAGGGTAAGTCCATCTTCCCCATGAAGGTTACAGAAATCTACGTATAGCTCTGTTCAGGAAGATGTCTGTCCTTTGGCTGACCAAGTACTCAGATGGCAAGGCCTCTATGTGGTGGCTTGGGCTGAGGGACCACGAGGCCCATGTGGCTCCAATTCGGCTCTGCTTCACTGTCCTGAAGGACTATCATTTTTGCTCCTCTCTCCGAGAAGAACTAGGGTAGATTATACGAATATATGTGTGCCATGTATTTATGCTTTGGAAGCAATGCTTCACAGATAGGTAAAAATCTACCTATGAGGAATGGAAAGAAAAAATGTATTGGACCATCTAGGCCAGCGGTTCTCAACCTCCCTAACACCGCAGCCCTTTCATGCAGTCCCCTCATGTGGTGGGGACCCCCAACCCTAAAATTATGTCCGTTGCTACTTCATCACTGCCATTTTGCTACTGTTATGAATCGGGCGATCCCTGTGAAAGGGTCCTTCAACCCCCAAAGGGGTTGCGATCCACAGGTTGACAACCACGGTCTCTGTGGTGCTAGAAGGCCTGTCCATGGGCTCACACATGCCCACCAGAGCAGCACCTTGGTCCTGCAAACGAGGAAACAAAGCTACGGAACACGCCTGGCTCTCAGCTGGTCAGCGGCAAAGCCGGCCAGGAAGCTCAGTCTCTGCTTGCTAACAGGTGGGGCAGACAGCCACATTCACTGGTGCTCAGCATTACTTTAGACCGGTGTTTCCCTGGGTGTGTGCTGGAATGATCCCGTGGGGCTGCAAATGCAGGTACCTACACCTTATCTTGGACTGTGGGCCATAGTACAAACGTTTTTAACTGTCAGGGGGGGGGGGGAGGGGCCTGTGCGTTGGAGAGATCAGCTGGCCCCTGGGCTCCATGTTTGCATCTACAGAACCAGTGTAGCCCTAGCCCATGTGCAGCAGGGGTCCCCAGAACCACAGTGTTGCCCTAGCCCATGTGCAGCAGGGGCCCACAGCGAGCTGTGCTTGGACCAGTCTGCACTGCAATACCGAGGGTTCCCACCAGCTCTGGGGGTTCTCCCTTAAATACGGGGGCAGGGCAGGCAAGGTACTAATAAGATGCAGCAGGAGGGCTGTAATTCAGAAAATGAAAAAGTTTCATTTCAGCCCTTTGACCGGCAGCCCATCCAGCCTTTCTGGCTGCTCCCTCTCCCGGCCTCCGTCCCTGCAGCCGGGCCTGCCAGACTGAGTGTTCCAGCACTCATTCCAGGAGCACTTCCAGGAAAAGTCAGTCCCGGGGCCTCCTGCCTCATCACCTTTCCATCTGCCCCCCGAGGCCCTGTCCCGGGGCCTGCATCAGGGACATCGGAGACAGGTGGGCTTCCACTGGCGGGAGAGAAGCCATCTCTGGTGGTGGGCTGTATTTCACTGCTAGCAGCCCATCGGATCAGAACGGAGCCCGCGGCCCCTTTAATGGACAACTCCTCGGCCTTGGTGATTTCTTTCCACATTAATAAGAGCTCAATTCCTTAGGGGAGAAAAAAAATGGACAGGGCAATTTCCCAGCTGCAACATGCTACAGTTGACATCTTCAGGGAGTGGCAAAAAAGTACAAGAAATGGAATGTAGAAATTGGCGGGGGGCGGGGGTGGGGGGGAGGGAAGAATGCGTATAAATTTCACTCTCATAAGGGAGAGGGGAAATGAACAGTGTTATCTGATATTCGCTGGACGGTCAAGAATGATGAAATAAGAACATCTGGGAAAGCGCTATATAGACACGAGATAGACCAAAGCTTTCTGATTTGCACTCTCTGGACTGTGTTAGTTCTAGACTGCCCACGGTCCAGGTGTGCTGAGAAGCTGCCTCGGACAGGTAGGTCGAAGCTTTCTCCAACACGACTTCCGCAAGCCTCGCTCAGGGCGAAGCGGGCTAGAGGCAGCACTGAGGGCTGCGGGCTTGGAGGGGCTGCTGAGCCGCCCTGCTCACCAAGGCCTGCGGAGCAGGATGGGAGGCCCTGCTTACTGCTTTGGGGACGTGGCTTGCATGTCACACAGAGACAGGCCAGCTTCTCCAGGGAAGAATTCAAAAGCAAATGAAGGCTGGGCCAGATATCATGGCTCCACTGCCAGCTTAGCCTCGTCTTCGCTCAGCTTTCTCTCAGGCAGGGCCTGCCGGCTGCTCCTGGCCTGGTGAGGCTTTGTGGGGCAGACGGTCTTTGTCTCGACCCTCAACTCTGCTGCTGTAGCGCAAAAGCACCCACAGAACGGTGACACGCAAACGAATGTGCATGGCTCAGTTCCGATAAAACTTTATTTATAAACACTGAAATTGGAATTGTGTGATATTTTCATGCATCATAAGTATTCTTTTGAGGGTTAACAACCTGTGTGCACGGCTCAGGGACAGCACCGGCAGGCCAGAGGTTGCTGACCCCTGACAAGGGTCCCATCCCAGGCACTGGCTTTCTGTCCAGCCATATACTCTGTTGGAGGCTCTTGGGAAGTCAGAATGGCACAGGCTGCCCTGCCTCCCTGAGCTGCCCTGCCGGCACACTGGACCTCCACAGGGGCTCTCCACGCCAACCACAGTGCCACCTCACACTGCATGAGGGTGAGTGCTGGGTCTGTCACTTACATTCTGGGCAAGTTTCGTCACCTGAGAGAGACTCAGTTTCTCCACATGCACACAGCGACTGCTCTGGGGGAGTGGGTGAGAGAAACACGCCGAGCCTCAGCCCAACCTTCCCCATCTGATGAGGGCTCTGGCGGCCCTCCATCAAGAAGCAGGGAGCTGGTTTTGCCCCAGGCCCTATGGTACCTGGCACAAGGCAAGCCACTGGAGACCTCCGGGACATGGCTGGGTGGCTGGCTCACCACAGCCGGATCTCCCAGGCAGCCGAGGTTTACTTTAGAGTGGCGCTCCCTACGCTGGGCGCCAGGCCACGGGGATAGTGGCCTCCGTGGTTTCTTTCTGTGTGACAGCCCCTGCAGCAGGCTCAGCTCGGCCTGTGGTGCTGTGGGGGCTTCAGATCTAGGGGGTGTTAGTTGCCAGCTACTGACCCCGAGGGCAAGAGCAAGTCGGCAGGAAAAAAAACAGACCTAATTAGACTGGCTGGAAATGAAAAACTCATTTCAGAGAGGGAAACGGCTGGGCCGTGGTGACCCGTCACAATGCTGGGAGACGGGCAAGCACGTGGTCTGTCTGTGCGCCTGTCTGTCAGCCCATAGCCGAGGGCGGGTGGGCTCGGTTTATGGAGGCACTATACCTCCTGCTCTCTGCACCCCTGCCTGCCACCTCTGCAAAGCCAGAGGGTCTGACTGTGTGCGGGCCGATTCAGGCTGTGCCCTGCTTCACAGCTCACCATCTCTGGAGCCAAGATTTGTGAGGGGAGGGAGACGAGGAGGGAGAGGGAAGCCGAGGTGACTGTGGCCGCAGGGAGGGCAGGAGAAGCTGGTGTGGCTGGGCAGGGAGGGGCGAGGGGGCCACACGCAGTCCTGGCCGCCCTCCAGTGTCAGAGGTGGGGCCCGGTTGTTTGGTACCCACAGGGCAGTGGCTCTCACCCCAAGCTGCACACAGCCATCAACGTGGAGGTCTGACACCTGGGCCTCAGTGAGACCACTGAAACCCGGTTTGGTGGGCACAGGCACGGGGATAGATATATGCTCTAGTTTAAAGCTCCCATGTGCAGCCAGAGTTGAGAGCCCCGAGCCTGGCTCACCCCAAAGGTGGAGTCCACAAGCAGCCCTAGACACGCAGGGACTATGGGAAGCCCCAGGCCCTCATCCCTAAGAAAGTGGTCTCGGTTTGGCAATGACATCACCAAAGACATGTGTGCTCGGGCATCATATGCAGGCATGTGCACATGCCCACCGTGTGGTCAATGCTCAGGCAAGCACAGGAGTGAGCGAATTCAGGTTCAGTGGCGAGTGGAAGAGACAAGATAGGGTGGCGTGGCAGCCTTACTTACGACGCAGCTAGCCCAGTGTGGGCTAAGCTCAGCCATGGTCTCAGCCCTGGCGCCTTCCAGCTCGAGACCAACCTTTATAGGCACCTGCCGGAGGCAGGCGGCCCTGGTGGAGTGGGGTGGGAGCCCAGCGAGGAGAAGGAACCTGCCTGGAGCAGTGACGCAGGGGGGTGAGGTGGAGAGGAGGGGCGGGGCTAGAGCTCTTGGGTTTCCGAGGACTCCATGGACTGGGAGAGTCTGGCCACCACTCGGGTCAGGGCCCTGTTCTCGGCCTGCAGCTGCTCGTTCATCTGCTTCAGGGTTTGGATCTGTTTTAGCTGGTGGAGGTTCTGTGGAGAGTGAGACATGGAGGGAAAGACAGACAGGACAGAGAGAGACAAGACAGACCAGAGGAAATAAAAGTAGGGCAAAGAGATCACGTGACTTTTTGCTTTTGTTTTTAGTTTGCATGCAAGAAAGGAAGTGAGGAAGGCAGGGGGATGAGGGGGAGGATGGAGGGGAGCTGCTGTGTCTGTGATTCTTGGCTCCGTCTAAAGATGCTGAAGGCCACCAGATGAAAGCAGCCACCGAGCAGCCAGAGCGACAAGGACATCTGGGTTGCCTTTGGACATGACGGCCCACCATGTGGCTGGGCCGCCAGAGCTGCGGCCTCCGGTTAGCTCGGGCCCTCCTTCAGCGCCCACCGCTGGGATCTGGGGTCGGGGTTTCCCTAAATCCAGCTGCTGGCCTCTTCTCTTCCCCCCCAGCCCCCACTTAACCTCCTGTTCCCACCGGTTTCCTTTCTAGGTCCTTCTTGTATGCTATTTATTTGTCATCATTAAAAACAAAGGAGGAGAATAAAAGAGGGGTCTGCGGTAAAGGCAGTTTTGCTTGCCAGGGGCATGGGGATCTGAACTGTACTGTTTGGAAGGTTGAAGTGACCCACACCAAAACAACACCCAAACTGGGCAGCCCCTGCCTGCCCACCCCACCCCCAGCCTTACAGGCAAGCTTCACTAGCCCATGGCTCCTTCCTGCTGCAGGCAGAGAGCTCGTCAGGGCCAGAGAACCACTATGTGGCCTCCGACCTGCTGTGTGGTCTTCTGCAGCAAAGGGCACTCTCTCTGTCCCAGTTCATGCAGACGCTGGGTGCTGTTTACAGGCGCTCACCAAAAGGCCTTGGCTCTGGACACGAGAGCTGTGCACACAAGGTGGGGGCGCCGTAAAAGGTCCAGCCACCCAGACTTGGTGGACCGCTATGCTCGCCTGGCCCTTACTATCTCCAGTGTGGCAAACAGAGCAGCACCAGCGGTCTACAGATACATATCCTTCTGACAGCCCATGAGGGAGGGATCCAGAGGCTTCATTAAGGGATTGACTTCCAGCCTGCCTGCTCCACTGTCCTTCCTAATAGGGATCTGCAGGACCCAGCTCTCTGGGAGGAAGGAAAGGGCTTTGTCAGGGGAATGGTGTTTGCAGGTGAGGATGATCAGCCCTGTAGGTTATAATGGCGCCAAAGAGGCCAGCCGGTACCAGAGAAAAGTCTCTCACACTCATGGATGACGGGCAGCAATGAAGGGTTAGTGATGTTATCACTGTCTGAGGGTGAGGAAGCATGGAAATGAAAGGTAGTGTGGGGGCGGGAAACAGTGAACAGGAAAAAACAAGCAGAGACAAACTGCTGGCTCTCCTCCCTTCGAGGGAGACTGGCCGCCGCGCAGAAAAAGCGGGCAGCCACACAGTTCCTTGGAGTTGCTAGAGGGGAGGGAGGGCCCGAGGGCCCGGAGGTCCTCTTTTCCCATGGCACACAGCTAAGCTGTGGCGCGGGCACTCGGACAGATCATGGGGCAGCAAATGGAAAAACTTAAAAAAGAGATGGCCAGGGGCCAAATTCAAAACTAAAGGAAAGTCCCTGGCTTTTACCCTTTTTGGTATTTATAATGGGCCGAAGCTTCCAACCCGTTCACTGTCCTCACACAGAGCAGTCCCTGCCTCCCAGAGTAATAGTCAACCCAAGCTACCAACGTGACTCTGTCTAACACGTCAATACCAGCAGATCCAAGTGGAGGAATTTGGAAGGTGTCTGCATGAGGGGGAAAGGCAGGACACAATGCGGGCGTCCCACAGCGAGCAGCACTGGAAGGCGGCGTTGGGGGGGGGGAAGAGGGCAGAGCACAGAGCAGGCTGGGCAAGAGCAAAGTTTAGGGGCAGGGGCAGGCTCGAATGTTTCTAAGATAAGAGGAATGAATAATCCAAGCCCAAGCTCAAAGGGGATTGGCTGCTGGGCCCCTCTCATGCAAGGACCTGCGAAAGGAAGGGCATTTATGGGGCCGGCATGGGCACAGGCCTGGCAGGGCTCACAGCCACATGCACACCTGTCAGTGTGGCACATCGTCCTGCCACAACACAGGCTCGGACAACTCAGGAATACTTACCTCTCTGAGAGGCAGAAGGCATACCTGCCCAGAGCCCCATGCCCCTTAGGGTGAGCCCATCTCCAGGCCTCCCACCACACCTTTCAACCCTGGCCTGCAGTCAGCTGAGCACCAGCCTCCCTTTCTAACCCGGCCCTGTAGACTGCCTGCAGGTGTGGGGACTTGTTATGAACGGAATAGGCCACAAACCTGGGGGCTCCCAGACTGACCAGACGGTCAGCTGTTACCACGCAGTGTGCAGACACTCAGGTTACCAGGAGTTGCAGGGCTAACCACACATGTTCTTAGACTCCTCCGGGGCTACTTGCACCAACTGCAGGTTGGCATCTGTGTACTGAAGTTTTTGTCTCCACAGAAATGGATTAAACCTCCATATATACCGATGAACCCACTGCCATCCAGCTGGCTCCACCTCGCCGCGACAGCAACTCCATCAAGCAGAGTCTCTGGTCTCTAGGGTTTCTGAGGCTGTACATCTATCTCTAGTGGAGCAGACAACCACATCTTCCCACAGAGAGCAGCGGTGGATTCAGACGGCCCACCTTGCTGTTGGCAGCCCAGCACGTACACTCTCTGTGCCCTGGGCTCCTAAATAGGCAGGCACATAACTGGCTCCATGGACTCTGCCATGTACATGCAAAGATGGTGCGTACAGGCCACTCCTTCCCTCCCCCCCCCCAGGGGTGGGTCTTCTTACACAGGGCAAAATCAGTGTCAAGTCAGCTGCTGGCTGGCTGGTTAGGGGCTAACCAGTCTTACTGTGGCTCTGCCCAGTAATGGGGACACTATTTTGAAGTTGGCTGGCAGATGGCTGGGAAAGCACAGCTTTTCTGGAGTGTCGTCTCTGCTGTGAAACGGAAGGAACGCAAGTGTGACCTTGTTTAGGAAACCGTGGCCTGATGGGACAGAGCAGGTGGGGCAGGATGTGAGGGCTGGACTCCACCTTGGCTTTGGGCACTTTCTGGGCTCTGTGTGTGTGTGTGTGTCAAGGGCTCTGTGGTGGTGGGTTGGTCTGAGTCCCTGGGTCCTCTCGGAGGGCACCAACTCTGGCCTTATTCACACGCTCCCATCAGCACGGAGACCATTTCTTAATGTGCATCACCAACGACTGATTAGCAGCAAGTACAGATGGTCTCACTCAGGGGTTCCCTGCAGGAAAAGGCTCCCATCTAAGTGAGAGCTGAGCTGGAAATCCAATCATCAAGAACTGTTTAGCTCGACTAATGCACTGCCCCAAGCGGACGGGCGGGAATGCCTCTGTGTGGGAGGTGAGGTAGGCTTGGAGGGGTTTAACGGTGTTAGCTCATACTGCTCCCTCCATCTCAGGAGATCTCTAATTCCTGCTGTGAATCAACTTGGAACATTTAAAGTGGCACTGTTTGAGACCAGCAGGTACTGCTAGAAGTTCTATGTGATTGCTATCACATAGATGTGATACTGATGTGGGGGTGTGGGTGGGGTAAGGAATGCCGGGCAGGGCTTGGCATCGCTCCTTTCCGGAAATAGAAAGATCAACAGGTCTGAGCACTGGGCCTTGTGTAAACAATGACCTCGTCAGGCTCCAAAAAGCTCTTTCAGTAAGCAGCCAGTCTGGAACAGTGAACCTCTCCCCACAGGCCTCCACAATCGAGTTCGGGATGCCTGCTCACTCAGAGACCTTGCTCTGCAACTACTGCCCCAGGACTCCTGTGTGCAGGTGCAGTGCCCCAGCTCTCACCAGGGGCACACTGCGTCCTACAGCAAGTGAAAGGTAACCCCTGGAGAGAGAGAGAAGGCTGAGGAGCACTGCACGACTGGGACTGGGTGCATGGGGCACTGGGCACTGCAGGTCTCAGGTGCTCCCAGGTCAGCTCACATACAGGCCTGCTCTGAGTAGCTCCAGGCCCCTCCTGCAGCAGTGAAGTGACTCTTTTGGGTAGATTTCCAGTTCTTAGTACCCCAAACTGCCCAGGATGACAGTCCCCATAAAATGGAGGTGGAGCCAGGTGTCATGAAGTCTATCTGGTGGCATGAGCTTACTCCATGGGGAGAGCGTCAGGCAGCCCCAAAGATTTCAGGGGGGTGGATGAGGGCAGGCATCAACTTTCATTCTGCTGAATGGCTCAAGGAATGGCTATTCCTTCCACCAAGGGGCAGGGCGGGCGCCCGGGAGGAAAGCGCTGGTCTTGCAGCGCTTGTAGAGCAGAGCAAGGGCCCTGCTCTGGTCCCTTCATCCAGCCCTGTGAGGAAACGTCCCCTCAGTCCCTTAAGGCCACAATTGTTCCCAGAAGGGCTCTGAGGTGGCCGTAGTGGCTTCTGCGTGCACTTGAGACTCAGCTCCTCTCCACACACCATCGCATCTGGAGGGTGAGGAGTGTGCAGCACGACTTGGAGGGGCAGGCCAAGGCGCAGCCAGCGGTCTTAGCAGGCACTCAGCAGGCAGGCTCACAGAGAGAAAGGAAACCGCCTCCTACCTTCATCTCCTCCTCCATCTCCGACATCTTCCGCTCCAAGGCTCTCCGCTCCTGTGGAGACAAGGGGGCTGTTGAGCGTCCGGTGGCCTTGGGCGGAGTCAGAGGGGCCTCAGGTGGCTGTGAGCTCAGCATGTTGTTCCCACTCAGGCACGGTCTGAGCCCGCCACTTCTGGAGCTACTTACTGAGAGAAATCACACGATCCCCACCATCTCTCAGAAGAGTGGAAGGCCTGTGGGGAAGCTACTTGCTGACATGCAAACAGGGTCAGGTCGGGCACTCTAGCCCACTCTGCTCAGCTCAAGACTTCATGGAATCTCAAGTGTCTGCCCATGGCATGTGGTGCTCACTCTGTTAACAACAAGGCACCAAGGTCTTCAGTGAAGTGCCCCTCCCCGCCGATTCTGAGGGGGCTACCTCCCTCAGGACGGGGAGCAGGGAAGGAAACATCACCACTGATGAAAGAATAGCACCTCTCCTCCAAATCTCTCTCTCAGCAATTGCATCCTGATGTGGCCTGATCTCAATGGGGACTCCTTGATTAGATGTGATACCAAGGAGGGTTGGTTACAGGCCAAGAAAATAAAACTAAGCTGCTTTCCAAATTGGACAGACAATAATAGGCGAGACGGGAACACATATTCCTAGGGTCAATTCCAAGCTAGCGTTCATCAATAGATCTAATTAAGTTTTTACAATCAAAGGACATCAACTCCCTGAAAAATATTCTGAATGCAGTGGGAGGAGGTCAACAAGTGACCCAGAATGCCGCCCATCAGCCAGAGCGAGGGCAGGGCTCTGCCGGTTCATGTTTCGGTCATGCGGCCTAATGGACGGCAAAGGAGCCTGCTGAGATTTCCTTTCCGTTCAAGGTGATGGGGAGGGTGAGGAGACCCTGTACCTGGCATGCGCATGCTGCTTTACAGCACACACAAACATACTGTGGGCACATGCATGTGGGAGGGAGGCAGGACAGCTCCTGCCATGGCTGACCCCCCCCACCACCAATGTGTGCAAAGTGCTGACCATCTGAGGATGCCAAAAGGACAAGCAATCAAACTGCTGCTCAGAGTCAGACAAAAAGAATTTATTATCATGCCAGGAATGGAATGTGGCAGAACTCCCGCCTTCTTAAGATGTACTTTTTCCAGTGGCATGAACAACAAAGTTAGAGAAGGCCAGAGGAGGGGATGGAACACATGGGAAGGACACACTCACACTCACACTCACATACCCGTTTCTCCATCTCCAGCATCGACGACCGGCCAGAGGTCTTCTCTTGTTTCTGCTGAGGCCGAAGGAAAACAGTTGTTACTCAAGTTGTCTCAGGGCCAGTGGACACCCCAGGCTGGGTCAGCTGTGCCCCTAGACACCCAGAAATGGAGGGCAGGGCTCTGGGCATGCACTATAGTGGGGGTCCCTGGAAAATGGATTCTGAGAGCTCTCTAAGCCTAACATTTTCTGCCTCTGAGGTTTGCAGGTAAGTACTCTTCCTTGAGATTTAAAACACAATTTCAATAATTGCATCACCAACCCCTCCCCCCCCCACCACTACCACTATGCAATTTGCTAGTTCTTCAATGCCAACCACCATCCCACAACTCACCTCCTTCCCCATTCTTTTGACTCAACACCCGAGGAAATGAAAAGTGCCTTTTCTTGTTTAAAACCCTCTGACCCCACGGCCTTGGGGGTCCACACTCAGAGGGCCCCCAGGGCACTGTCCTGCACAGTGCATCTTTCTGTTTGGGGACCTGAGCCTTTCTTTCAGAGCAGTGCTTTCACAGGGGCTGTGTGTCCTGAGGGTCTGCTCTGGTCAGAAAAGAGCAGCCCACCTGTCTGTCCTATCTATATACTGTGTTTCCAGGTAAGGCACCATTTTATTAGAATAAAAGATAATACAACTTAAAAACCAGTTATAAAGCTTATTTATATCATTGCCCACTTTCAATGACACTGCATGTTGCAGAGGGGCTAGAACAACTTAGCTCCATGGCTGAGGAGGACCACCTCTGGTGATGGTGCTGCTTTGCAAAGTAGGGGATGGAAGGGAGCCCCCGAGGCCCTTTGGACTTAGCAAAACAGAACTTTCTAAACCGTTAATAGGCATTTAGTATATATGGCTCTTTTTATCCTAATTTGATTACTATGCCTGGAGTCCGACAGACAACAGTGAATAAGCACTGGAACTATGCTGGTTGCCCTCTTTGGGTCAATAAGGGGCAGTCAGAAGTTGCAGTGAGCACTTGGAATCCTGCCCCTTCCCCTGGGCTTGCACCTTCTTTCTGAAGGTCATGGCCGTCTGCCTTGACGTGGCATCTACTAGGATGAGGGAGGGGGAGAAAGGACGCAGCAGCAGATCCTGTGGCTTGCTCAGGTCCCCCACTTGTCTGTTTCCTCGGCCTGAGAAGCTGTGGTGATCTGATTGTTTTCAAGGTTCATTTATAGAAAGAACAACTAGCTTTTCTTTGGGGGAAAAAAAGTCCAGCGCCTTAGAGTTCAGGCGGACCTTTTATGAATAAACAGAGTGTGTCCATGTGGTAACTGTCTCCACACAAATGTGCAGGGCCGACAGGCCGCTCTCAGCTGGCCTGCCAAACAGCCCCATGTTTGGTAAACCGCACAGGCTAGGTTTGCGGCACCAGCGTTTTGTCTGCATTTCAGTAACTCGTACGTGGCCAGGCCATTCCGAGGAGCAGCAGAGCAGCCGGCTGGAACCGAGAGCTCTACCTCTGGCACGGCGGGGGCTGCTCTTCCTTTCCAGGCCCTCTGTGCATGGCACCGTCAGCAGCTTGCCAGCCACTGGCTGCCACGGAGCACGGGCTGGTAGAGAAGCCGAGGACCCTAAAGGTCAGGAAACAAGCTCGCTGTAGAGGCGTCTGCTGGAGAGGAGTAGGGGACAGGTGAACCTGGGTCCCTCATAAGACTGCGCCGTAATTTTCCATTGACCAGTCCCCATGATAACGAATGACAACCAACAGACTCCTCATCTATCAACCACTGATGACGTGACACGATTTAAATGGAAGATGAGCCCTCGATGTTTCTGAGGGTCCACTGTCAATAGCACTCAGCTGTTAGCTAACAGTCAGTGGTTCAAACCCACCCGCCACCCCGCAGGAGAAAAGACCTGCTCCCTTAGAGACAGTAGCCGAGGGAGCTCCACTCTATCAGAAGGGACTCAGGGGCACCCTGCCGTTGCCTGTGAGCAGGAGTCCCGCGGGCGCATGTGGTGAGAGCGCCGGGTTAATAGAAAATCAGAAGTTTGAGTCCACCCAGAGGTGCCTCAGAAGAAAGGCCTGGCGATTGACATGGACCACGAAACACCACAGGGCGCAGCTTGCCTCTGATGCACACGGTCATCACCAGTGGAGATTGTGTGCTGGTGACTGCTGCAGCATGCTCCCTGCTCAGCAACACTGGGGTCAAGAGACCGCCAGCTCCGGCCCCTTCCCTACAGGGAGTGTGTGTGAGTGGGCTCTTGTTTAGCGACTGTGTGTGGCAGGATTCTCAGGAATTCCCTGTCTTAGGGTCACATTCAACCACTCCACCTAGGCAGAAGGGGATGCCTCTCCCAGGTCCCCACGCAGGTCATCCGCTCAATGCCTGGCTAAGCCCTTCTCTAGAAAGAGCCAGTGTCCTGGCTGGCCTGCTGGGATGCCAGGCAGCTTGGTGGTGATGTCTTCCAAGTGCTGGCACCCCGGCTCACCCCATTCCATAACGGTTGCAACATGTTCAGAAGGCACTCAACCTTTTGCCCTCTTGGAGCCCACGTACCTGGCACGACCCAGCTCCAGCATTTTGGACTGCCCGTTTGTGCTGTGTCACGCAGCCAGAGCCAACTAGCCCCCTCTGGTTTTCATTTCATGTCTTCTGGGTGAGGAGTATTTTTACTTCTGCTTTTAGCAGCCTTAGTTCTCAGGCCTTTCAGGAGGGCAATAACTCAAGTGGCTTGCTGTTAACTCAGCAACAACGCAAGTCAGCAGGTCCTTTAGCTTTCAGCTGCAGGGTGTGTTCCGCAGGTGATGATGGCGTTATTACCTCCAGCACCTGCTCGAGCCCCATCTAATTGAATCAGACCCAGCAGTGAGAGGAAAATGGTGTGTCTTTCGGCCACTAAGGCTCCTGACTCCCAGGCTGAAGGACAGTGGTGGCTTGGGGAGGCACCATATGCAATGAATAGAATCATTGCTTTGGGACTTCAGCCTGTGTTACTGTACCAACGCTGGCCTGGATTGATCTAATAAACACCTATTTCTCTAGGCCTCTGTGCTCTGGGCTTAACAGTCTCGCTGACCCCTCTTGGGTCAGTGATGTGCAGATTAACTGAACTGAGGCATGAGGAGGAGCAACAAGGGAGAAGTCCGTTAAAACTCCTCTGTAGCAGAATGAAGAGACACAGAGCCCAATAAGCACGCCATCTATATTAATTATAGGCATTTGGCCCATTAGGAGTTGTCCACTGAACTATCAATGGTGAATTTACTAAACACTGACAGATTGGGGACCGCATCAAATTGGCATCTCAGAAGCTTGCAACACCCTGTTTTTAGGGAGACTGCATTCTGACTCTCACTTCCCATCACTAGCTCTCTTGTCTAGCCTGTCTCCTGGCGTACTCACCCTGCCGCCCTGCCCACCTTTCCTCCTCTTCTCCCCACTTACCTGGGCCATCTTCTCTAGCTTGGATTTTACATCTGCGAGCTCCAGCTGAGCCTCCTGGAGTTTCGTTTTCAGTTTTTGGTTTTCAGTTAGGGCACTCTCGTAGAGCTGGGGAGGGGGTGCGGAGAGAGGCATCAGGCCACCTACTAGGGGTGCTTGCTCCCAAGGTAAGAAGTCACATCTCTCCATCATGAGAATGCCTGGGCTCTCTGGCCCAAGCCACCTGTGTGTGGTGGGTGAGGAGATGCAGTCTGGGGACAGAAGGCACTCAGCCAACTCGACCTGCTCTTCGAAAGGGAACAAGTGCCAGACGCTGAAGACAGAGGACAACAAGGCGCTAACATCCACGGCATGCAGCGTGGGGAAACCAACCATCCTGCTTTCTCAGACGGGGATTTGCCTGGATGAAAAGTGTGACTCACCACCCCCCGCCCCCAATACCAAAGGGAACGATTATTCCTGAACCAGACTATTAAATGTCTTGCTAACAAGAACATTCTTTCCCCCCCAGCATCTCAAGCCCCTGACCGGGGTTTCCGAGGCTGCCTTGGAACCGGGCACCCTCCTGCAAGAACCACAGGGATGAAGTGTGCAGTGGTCTCCGCCTTATCCAACCCAGAAGAAGGTTACTGCTGTCTTACCACCCCTAAGGAGTATTTCAGGAGCCCTGGGTGGCACAGTGGTGACATGCTTGGCTGCTAACCGAAAGGTCAGCAGTTCAAACCACCAAGCGCCGGGCAGAAGAGAGATGAGAGTTACCAACTCAGAAACCCTAAGGAGCAGATCTCCTTTGCCCTGTGGGCTTGCTATGAGTCAGATTCAACTTGATGGCAGTGGGTTAAGACGTATTTAGGGTCTACTAAATGATTCTCAGGAGCTCAGACAGGTGAGCATTCCTTTTGTTTGCTCCCCCTCCCTTTGGGCAATTTTCAGTACCTTGTTTTTTGTAACACCTCTAAAAATCCAATTCTAAGGCACACACTTACTGCATTAAGTACAAGACACAAAGGGGTCTCTATCTGGCTAATGGAGCAAAGAGGGAAGTCAAGAAACCTTCAAGGAATTAGTCGTTATATGTCAGTGACGCTCCTATTCCTACACTGGTGGAAAGGCAGCGGAGGCCCACACACTGTAACCCAAGAGCACGAGAACCCAGAGCACCTACTTTTTTATAATCCCTGTTGGTGTCCTCTTCCACCCGGCTAGTCAGGCTGGCCAGGCGCGCCTCCCGCCGGGCTCTTGCTGAGGCTCGGTCATAAGAGTCGCTGGTTGCAGGGTTGCTACCTCCTGATTCCAACCTGTGGGGAATGCAGCAAAAGGTAGAAGCTGGGTTTGAGAACAAAGGAGTCAAGGGGGACAGAGACGTGGGCAGAGGCAGGCACAAATCTTCCCAAATCTCTCAGCCTGCCTCCCGGGGCCTCATGGCTAAGCTGTGCCAAAGAACAGAACTGATTTGGAAACTGGTGGTTTGGTCCCATGTGCTGACTTAAACCGTAAAGCTTTTCAAATTAATTTAGGTTTAAGCTGTTTCCTTCAACAGAGTGTATTTTAAGAACAATTTTCTTGGATTTCAGTGGCTCTTGGCAAAGGACTCCATGAGCTGTCAATGAATCAGAAACGTATGGAGGTGGAGGTCAGGGTTGGAGGTTGGACGGAGGAGGACGTGACTTTGGCACTGTGTGCACACTCTTTAGCTGCACTGCGGGTTTTGCGGGGACCCCACACATTTCAGGGATGCCATCGCCAGGGCCAGAGTAGCTAGTTTGCTCCTCTTTTTACCTCTGTTTTTCACTTGGGGACTGCTATGCCTATGACTAGGAGATTTCCTCAATTTCCAGCAATTAAGCATCACGTGGGAACTAATGGTGGCTTTATTTTCAGTATCAGGAAGTTCATTGGGGGAATGGCCTCTTGGCTGACTGACTGCCTGGAGAGTGGGGCTCCCTGCTGCAGTGACGACTGTCATCCTGAACCTTATCGCCGGTCTCTCCTTTCTTCAGACTCTTCGCAAAGGAAAACACGGTGCACGCGAGACTGCGCTGTGTACAGAGCACGCCAGCAGAGCCCCAGCCCCTGGAACTAGGATGGTCTGAAGAGACACAGCTGTGGAGCTTGCAGCCCAGGCCTCAGTCCCAGGGGGGCGATGGTCTCAGGAGGGGGAGAGGTAGAGGAGCTGTCAGAGTGACGTCAACAATGAACTAATGGCCCGTGTCTCTCAGAGAGGCTAACTGAGCTCCATAGCACTCTTCTTTGTCTTTGTACACAGAAATCTCTTTACTAATTTTCCTGATTACAAGAGCAATATATGCTTATAATTTTTTAAGCTAATAATGAAATATCTAAAGTAGAAAGTGAAGGTCATCATGTACTCCTGCCCACGAAATATCCATAGTTATTAATGGAGTTCATATCCTTACAGGATTTGAAGCACATAAATGTTAAGATATGTACTTATATAAATAAAATCTAAGTCCTTCTCCCTCTACACTTATCCCTATAATGGTGGCCATCTTACTACATATGTCACAACAGCTTTGTCTCATTAAAAAAAAAGACTGCATGCAGTCTTCTATGGTATGGTTGTAAAATTTATTTAACTAATCCTCGATTGCCAGACATTTACATTGTTTCAATATTTTTAGCTACTTATAAACAATGCTACTGTGAGTAGAAGTCTGTCAGTCTTAGTGGATTTGTCCAATTATTTCCTTAGAATAAAATTTTAGGAGTAGAAGTAGAACTATTTGTTCAAGGGTTATGTTTTAAATGTTGGTAGAGACAGCCATACTGAGCCCCAGATAAGTCTAATCCTTTCCAATCTGAGAAATATATTGTCATTAATTTTAATATTTTAAAATAATTTGGGAGGCTCAGCATTTTGGGCTATTTACCAGTCTTTGTTTCTGAATTGTTCTCCAAAGCACCTTTGTGGGGGTGGAGTGGGCAGAGGGAGAATCATCTTTCCTGTTGCAGTGGCAGGCGATTCCATCGCAGGCCATTCACAACCATCTCAGTATAGCTTGTAGATGTTCCCCGCACTTTACTTCTGGTCTCTGTCTATGGTGTCTTTGACTAGCAGAGATGTAAAGTTTATATAATTGGACAATTTTTATCTTCATATAAAAAGCAGCACACTTGGGAAAGTATTTACTAGATAAAGATTATAAAAAATTCTCATCTGCTTTTGTGGTGAGATAGCCCCTGCCCCCTAACAACTGTAATCTATAATCTTTTTTATAATCATTTTTTTGGGGGGGGGCTTGTACAACTCTTTTTTTTTTTGCTCGTACAACTCTTATCACAATCCATATATCCATCGTGTGTCAAGCACATTTGTACATCTGTTGCCCTCATCATTCTCAAAACACTTGCTTTCTACTTGAGCCCTTGGTATCAGCTAATTTTTTCCCTTCCCTCCCTGCTCCCCCTCCCTCATGAACCCTTGATAATTTATAAATTATTATTATTTTGTCATATCTTACACTGTCCGGTGTCTCCCTTCACCCACTTTTCTGTTGTCCGTCCCCCAGGGAGGAGGTTATATGTAGATCCTTGTAATCGGTTCCCCCTTTCGACCCCACCCTCCCTCCACCATCTATAATGTATTTATTTAGTTTGAATGGTTAGAGGGAAGACTATCTTTCCAAGTAGTCAATTGTCTTAAAGATCACTGATTGAATGTCCTTCCCACTGAGTTGAAAGTCATCTTTCATATGATATGTATTTGTGTATGTATATTATATAGATATGTATATTTGGTTTTATCTCTTTGCTTATTCTCCACTTAGTACTTTACTGTATTCACCACTATAGCTTTACAGCAAAATTTGAAATGACCATTATGATGAAACAAAGCTCACAAAAGATTATCAAGTGCTGCTCTCTACTGATTTTGCAAAACTAAGGCATTTCCTGCCATGTTAGAAGTAAATTATTTATCCCCAGCTGGTGGCTGGTAGGAGAGGTGAGAGTAGCAGAGGAAGAATATATGCAAGCTTGTAGATGTAGAATATGCAGTGAGGCGAATCAGCGGCCTGGTGTTGTAGTGGTTTGGCATTGGGCTGCGATCCGCATGGTGGGCAGTTTGAAACCACCAGCAGCTCCAAGGGAGAAACACTGGGTTTTCTATCCCAGTAAACAGTTAACAGTATTGGAAGCCCACAGGGCGTGGGTATGAGTCAGCACTGACTCACAGAGGCAGGATGTTTGAGTGAGTAGTAAGGTGAAGCCAATTCAGTGACCCAACCAATTAGAAGGGGAGACTGGTTTGCCTTGCACTACGCCATAACTAAAATCTCCCCTAGTCGGTGCAAAAGGAGATGGTTCAACTTCTGGTTTCTTAAAAAAAAATCTTGAATCGTAGCGACCCTATAAGACAGGGTAGACCTGTCCCAGTGGGTTTCTGAGGTGCTAATTCTTTACAGGAGTAAAAAGTCTTCCTGCATTTGGTGCTTTCAAACCATCGGCCTTGAAGTTAGCAGCCCAAAGCATAACCCACTATGTCACCAGAACTCCTTAATCTGTATAGTTTTCTTCTTTTATTATTTTTAAAAATGTACCTATTTATTTTTCCCTAACCCTAATATTTTCTTCTTTAGGAGTATCGATTTTGTACCCATAGCCAGTAAAATGACTAAATGCCATTCCTTGAACCATAAGAAAGTCTGAAATCTTCCCTTAATCCTTCAGCAAGTGCCCATTGGTCTTTAGCTCACTTAATGCATGAACTACTGAGCACCATCTAGGCATGGGCAGAGTAGGAGCCACTTTTAAATGACAGTATCTAATTTCATTTTATTTTTTAATATTTTCTTTAAAAATCATTTTATTGGGGGATCATACAACTCTTATCATAATCCATACATCCATCCATTGTGTCAAGCACATTTGTACATTTGTTGCCCTCATCATTCTCAAAACATTTGCTTTTTACCCGAGCTCTTGGAATCAGCTCCTCATTTTTTCCCCTCCGTCCCGACAGTCTACTAAATTCAATCTCAATTCTGGTATCAAGTCCACAATAAAGCCTTTTCCGAACCACCAGAATAAATTAATTGCCTCTCTGCCATCCTCACCTGTTCATACTTCGGTCTTGGCATGTACTACATTCTATTGAGATTATCTGTCTCTCCAGGCGTTTGTAGGTATTTAAGGGCAAGGCTCATGCCTAATTCACATAGCTTCTCTGGTCCCTGGACAAGGGTCTGCCCCCACCCCCGGCACGTTAGGAAAATTAATCTAGTGGCATTATGCAAGGAGAATTGGAAGGGGAGAGTCTGGAGGCAGGAAGGTGGGTTGAGAAGCAGTCGCACTGCTTGAGGCAGGAGATGGTAAAAGTCTGAATGACGGTGGTGGCTGTGGGCATGAAAAGGACAGGAGGCTGTAGGAACATCACGAAACTATGCAGAGCTAATTTACTTAGACACACATTTACTCACAGGCATTAAGCATGCATATAAAATAGAGAAGGTGCTTACCTAGACAATCTTTCATGCTAGAGAAGGGAGGAGACAAAAACAAAAACAGCATTAGCAAGAGACGGAGCTTTCTGTTTATAAATGCATTCTTCAAACCAGATGTCTCGACTTCACAGCTTAAGATAGAGGTGTAATTTAAGAGCAATTTAACTGGCAGCACACAGGGAAGTTCAGCTACTTCGCTAGCTTTAGCTTCTACTTGTTTGTATTCCATGGCCCACTAGGCTTGAGACTTTGGGGACAGTGTCTTTTTAAACAGGAATTCAGCACGGTGTAAAGTGGTCCCCAACTGGCGCTCTCTTCACAGACCAACCAACCTTGCATTCCAGAAGTGTGAACGATGTTCACTGCGACATTTAGCCTCAAGCCCCCTAATGCTGCTTTAAGTGCTGCAATTTACCAACCTTAAAACTTGGGACAGTTCCTGGCTGTCTCCCACCCAGATCTCTAGCCAAAGTAGGAGGGCGAGGAAGAAAGTCCACCATTCTCTGTAAAATGTTGATTAAAAATACAAAACAAAAAACAAAACTGCAAAGAATTAGGAAGTGCTGCGTTGTCCCAGAAGAAATGAGCTTTATAGATGCAAACTGCTAGCTGACCTGTACCCTTCAGTCCCTTTACTTTTTAAAGCTCACACCAATAAAAACTCAATTAATTTGAAGGTATTTACTTATTCCTCTGTTGAGGTATTAGAGAACACCAAACCCCCACAGACAGTCACAAGAAGGACTAACGGCAACCCGGGTCTGGTAAGGCACCACATGAACAATGACCCCTGACTTACTCTGGATGGCACTGCTTGCTGCATACTGACCAGCCCTGGGGCTGACTGGCCCCCCAGCCAACACAGCATGACGGGGCAAGTGTGGTGCTGAGGGACCCCGAGAAACCTTTCCATTCATCACAAGGATCTGGGGTGCCTTTTCAAAGTGGACACACGCTAACCTTGTTCCAGGAATTTCTTCCCCAGTGGGTCTAGAAAGGGGCCTTCCCATGTGTATTTTTGGTGTCCCCAGGTGGTTCTGATTTAGAGTCTTGGTTAAGCATCACTGGATGAAACAACAGATTTCTGTTTTGAAAGGTGAAAACATGACCCGTTTGAGATAGGGAGCAAGAAGAGCACATGGTCGCTCGTTCATGTTCTCACATACCTGTAGTTCTTTGGGAATCCCCCCAACTCGAAAATCTGAAATTCTGGACAAGTTCAGGGTCTCTCCATTTATACCTGACCTCCGGGAGAGCCATATACATGAACCTCCCACATTGACAATGACTACTTCCATCAACATTAACGAAGGTGCTTCCAAAAAAAAATAAAATAATAATCACCACTTACGCCCGGCTTTCAAAAGATATAGCGTCCGGGGTCTTAAAAGCTTGAAGGTAAACAAGCAGCCATCTAGCTCAGAAGCAACAAAGCCCACATGGAACAACATATCAGGCTGTGTGATCACGA